GATTGTATCAGTAAGATTAGAAAACGGTTCGACGATGTATACGGTATATATGGTACGTTAATTGGAGATACGGACCATGGTGGCGCTAGTGAGTTAAGTGGAAAACCGTCTTAAGGCTGCTATAAGTTACAGAAAACAAATCAACGTTGTATTGCAACTCCTTAGTTTCCAATTAGTGATGTTTTGAAGTAGTATTACAGGTTTTTTACACAATATTTTTGTAATTCATCAATGGTAGACGTTCGTACCGAATACTGTACTCGAGTTGAATTATTTTCCAATTTTTCTTATATAATCTTGAGAATATTTTCCTTTAAGTAAAAAGGAAACTCCAAGATTGCATCAGTAAGATTAGAAAACGGTTCGGCGACGTATACGGTATATATGGTACGTCAGTTGGAGATACGGACCGTGGTGGCGCTAGTGAGTTAAGTGGAAGACCGTCTTAAGGCTGCAATAAGTTACAGAAAACGAATCAACGTTGCATTGCAACTTCTTAGTTTTCAATTAGTGATGTTTTGAAGTAGTATTACAGGTTTTTTACACAGTATTTTTGTAATTCATCGATGCTAGACGTTCGTAATGAATACTGTACTCGAGTTGAATTATTTTCTAATTTTACTTATATAATCTTGAGAATATTTTCCTTTAAGTAAAAAGGAAACTCCAAGATTGCATCAGTAAGATTAGAAAACGGTTCGACGATGTATACGATATATATGGTACGTTAATTGGAGATACGGACCATGGTGGCGCTAGTGAGTTAAGTGGAAAACCGTCTTAAGGTTGCTATAAGTTACAGAAAACAAATCAACGTTGCATTGCAACTTCTTAGTTTCCAATTAGTGATGTTTTGAAGTAGTATTACAGGTTTTTTACACAATATTTTTGTAATTCATCAATGGTAGACGTTCGTACCGAATACTGTACTCGAGCTGAATTATTTTCTAATTTTACTTATATAATCTTGGGAATATTTTCCTCTAACCTTTTGAAAACAGCACATACAAACACTCAAATACTTTCACGTATACGTGTATGCCCTTATAATCCTTATAATTAAAATTTAAGAGATGAAACATTGATACAAACATCGATTTTCAAACTCTTATCTCAGACATACGGAAAGGTAGAAAAATTTCATTTTTAACCGTATATGATCTCGAAAAACGTCATATGCAACACGAAAGAATGTATGGTATCCCATTTAACCCCTAGCACTCCAGTCGCTATTTGATAAAATCTCGAAGTTCGATATTAATTAATACATCAAATTTAAGATAACGTAACAGTATGCGTGGTATCGAAATTAAATAATTCTACCTGTTAATTATTATACGATTTCTTACTTACTCATAGAAAAATATCATCAGCCTTATAGCAGAAAATTTTTCAACTCGTATACATCTGTAGTCAAAAAATCGTCGAGTGCAAAGGTTTAAAAAAGGGGGAAGCTCACCCCTATATTTCCAAAAATACCATGCATATGCAGACATACATTGACATACATTGTCCCTTCAGTCACAAGGAGCCGAAAAATTTTGTCTTTTATTTGTTTCTAATCGCGACAATTTTCGAAAACGTCGCTTCCTAATAATAAGATGAACACCCTGTACGTATATACACAGAGAAGAAGCGCGTGTGCGTGAGAGACGGGGATGGAGGAAATACGTGTGTCCACGAATGTATATACAGCATGTGTATATACATAGGCGAACTTTCGAGAAATTCGACTCTTTTATTTCCACGCGACCTTACCTACTACCCGTCTGCCTCGAAGCGGCGGAGAAAAATCTCAAGAGCGCATCGTCTTCGAGAGCCCCGCCGGAGATTTCGCTTGCACAAGAAGGAATAGCGGGGTGGGCCAGAACAAGCTCGGGAGCTCGGACAAATTCTTGCGATGTCGGTGAACGGCAGGGGTTGAATCGCGAGAAAATCTTATCCACCTACCTACACTTCGGATCGCTTTTATCTCCGATTTCGGACATTCTTCCACCACCCTCATTCCTGTCGCGAATTCCCACCCCCTGCGCCACCGTCGAGCTCCGCGGACGCGGTTAAATAACGTCGCGAAATTTTATATTCGACTGAATCCGGGCTCGAAGAGCTACCCGATGGTCGTGCGAACGATTTTATTAATTCGTCGAAACGGTGTTCCCGGTTTATCTTTGGCGAATGGTGCTCTTTTTTCAAACAGGAAACGCGATATCGAAGGGAGATTTCAGCCGGTGGAAATTAATGGTACCGCGTGTTTTAATTAACGGCGGAATAATCGTGGGATGGCCGGTGATTATTTAACGAATGGAAATAGTTTTAAAATGTTACGGAACGGTTAGATTGGATTTTACCGGTTGTTTGGTCGTCCGGGGGTGAGTAGAATGGGTCAGGGCGAACGATCGACTCGTGTCTTGGGAATAAATTGATCGATCGCGAGGTTGATCGAGGGTTTCTTGGACTGTTGACCTGAATGGGCGGTATGGGTAATTTTGTGCCGTTTTATAATTAATACGAGGTAATACAGGTTTGATTTCGAGTTATTAGAGTGGCTGAATTATGTCTCTAGGTGTACGTATTTATGGTAGAGTGGTTTTAGGAATGGTTTTTAAGAAATGCAATAAATAATTTACTATTATTTTTGTGCATTCTGGATGTTTGTTATATGTTATTATGGATATAAATAAAACACGAGAATGTTGAGAATATTTAACTAATTGTTATAATGGAAGCTTGTTTCTTTTTTAAAGGAGAGAAAATAATTTCAGACTTTTTTCAGTTTTTCTAATTTTATTTCAACTTATTCTATTTAGTATGCAGAAATAGAATTGTTTATTTATTGTAGTTTTTAATATATTCGTCTTAGAAAATTCTAAAATTGCTGTTCAATACTTCTGACAGTCTCTAAGATTTTATTAATATATTGCAATAACATTATTCAATTTATGATTATACCTGATCGTACCATAATTAAAGGAGTAAAGAAATTGATACTAATTTTGTAACTAATTGTGGGAATAATTAAATTACGACTCTGAACATCTATTAAAAATATTTTAGGTATTTGAATTATTATTATTAATTAATATTGTAGTTTTAACAATATAATCAACATTCTTCCTCCATTGCAAATATATATTTCCTCCATTCTTTTAACAGGTTTATTATCACACAATTGCAATTCAAACGTACAATTATTATTAAAAAAAAAGATAGTATTTAAATAAATATTGTCCAAACAAATTTCTGAACCAAATTTTTGATTTATCGTACCAGAAAGTTACTAGAAACAGACCAACTAAGTAGGTCCTTTTTCCTTTTAAAATTCTGTCCCTGTAACTAATTATGAGAGCAATTAAATTAGCACTCTGAACACCCAATAAAAATATTTTAGATATTTGAATTATTATTATTAATTAATATTTTAATTCTAACAATATTATCAACATTCTTCCTCAATTGCATAAATATATTATAACAGGTTTGTTATCGCCCCATTACGATTAAATCGTACAATTGTCATTAAAAAGAATAAGAAAGAAATAAAAATAAAAGAAATAAATAAAGAAATAATAAAAGAAATAAATATTGTCGAAGCAAATTTCTAAACTAAATTTTTGATTTATCGTACAAGAAAGTGACTAGAAACAGACCAATTAAGTACGTCATTTTCCCTTCGAAACTCCGCCCCTTTCAAAATTGCTCTCCACTAATGTGACAGAGCGTCGGAGATTATTTTACGAACGATCGTGGATAGGAGTAATTTTTCAGGATCGTTTGCTCACTGTGATACGCACCGTTATTGCTCGAAACCAGGAGTGGTGTCCTGGATAACGGAGCGTTTCTCCGTTCGTGGTAAACATCTTTTATTAAGTGCACGTTGCGCTCCGCTGGCGCGTCAATTTTTCAAAGCACCCTCGAGTTCTTTGTCTTCGCGTCTCCATCTAACTATAACGATAAGCACGCGTAGCAGAGGAGTAGGGGCGATTAATCGTTCCATCATCGTTAGAGATGGTCTCGACTCTGTGACAATGGCGGAAACCGAACTCCTTTCGCCTTTCCCCTGCGAATCGTCCTCCGAGATAAAGTAATTTTCTTCCTTTTCCTTCCGAGTATCGAATATACCGCGTATAATCCTCGGCGTGTCTCCTTCGTGGCAAATAAGGGGATGAACCAACGATTTAACCACTGACAACCACCTCGAGTCGCTCGTCTGTACGAAAGTGGTCCAAATCATACGTATTTCGTTTCCAGATATTTAAATTTCGCGCCTTTAACCCTTTGCGGTTGGCAAATTTTGGCAGAGAAAATTTAGCGTTTCGCAGTTACTCTTCTGTACAGGATTTAAAGTCAATATATGGATATTAAAACGCACTGAATTTGTTGAAATTAATTTGTGTTTAATACTACTAATAATACGTGAAAATTCGAAATTTTTAATTTCTATAATTTTCTGTAGCTTTCTGTATTTTTCGACTTGCGAATGTCTCCACGACGGGGTCCTCGACCGCAAAGGATTAATTTATTATAAATTAAGGAAATTAATTTCAACGAAATTGCATACTCGATCTAGGGGTTCAATTCTTAGTTATAGTTATTCTGTTAAAAATTGTTTTATCTTATTCCAGTGCAAGTGTATGCGATCATTAACGAGGGATGAAGTAGTTTCTTCCGAAGTTTGACTTATTATTGGTTATACCACTTTCGTAATTACTCGCCGCATTTTCCGAATCGATTAACTTTCCTGAAATAGGATAGGAAAATAGAAATTTATTTCTGCCATGAAAAATTTTGCATTCATTAAGTGCTTTGATGGTTGGGTTGAGGAGAAAATGGAATTTTGAATTTTTTATTTCATTTGATAAATGGGGGTAATTTTGATCTGCGAGTGGCTCAAGTATTGGCAGAGTGGATTTTCGCGATGGTTGGAGCGAAATGGCGAATTAGATTTTTCGTTTGCATTATTACGGAGGATTAACGAGACCTTTCTTGTCTTTTCGTTTCAGGCTGTGCATTCGTGAAACTTTCATCACATCAAGAAGCGCTTGCGGCGATCAATACCTTACACGGTAGCCAAACTATGCCGGTGAGTGGAAGTCACTGTTTTTTTTATAAACTAATCAGAAATTGATGTGGAACGCGTTTTGGAATTTTTATGAGACCGATGGACAATACTTCGACGCTACGAACATGTACTTTAGCATAGTAGCGACGAAACAATTTCTTTCTTTAATTATTCAAAATGTAGGAAGATTTTTCAAATTCGCTAGTGAAGTTTGTTTGCTTTTGTAAATATAGAAAATATAGAAATGTGTGAAAGAAAGCTTATTTCATAAGGAATTTTCTTTCTTCGGAATTTTGTGTAATATACAATTTTTGGAAATATGTTACGAGTAGGTAAACAATTATTGGTAAAGTTAGTATAATTTGTATAATTATTGGTAAAGTTAGCAAAGGAGAATTTTATTATAGATTACTATAGACAGGGTTTAACACTGTTTCATCTGGATTCGAAATACCCTAAACCCTAATTATGTTTATAATTCTCTTCTTATTTTATGTAAAAAGAGTATTTTTAAATATTTAATGCAATTATCAACAATTATCGATAAATTAATAATCTACAAATAAATTTTGTATATAATCAATATTTCTATGTAATCAAGTACCTCAAAGTAGAATAAAATCTCGATATTCCAAACTAATTAGGCGACACGTGTGTCAGGATGCTAGATAGAACTCAAATTTTTATAAAAACTTAATAATATTAATTAATTTAATAATATTTGTATTAATTTTAATATAAAATTTAATAATAAAGCTCAGTTTATATAATACCAATCACAAATAATTTAAGGATATAAACTATAATAGTTTGACCTTTATATAATCCTCAACAAGTCCACCTACAAAAATTCTAATTATATTATATTATATTATATTTCTAACACTCTTCAAAATTGTTTAATTCTTGTCAGGAACATTTCAAACACAGTGAATTTGATATAATTAATTTTTTAAAGATATAAATTAATTTAACCTTCATATAATCTTCAACAAGTCCACCTACAAAAATTGTAATTATATTATATTATATTATATATCTAACTCTCCTCGAAATCGTTTAATTCTTGTCAGGAACATTTCAAACACAGTGAATTTGATATAATTAATTTTTTAAAGATATAAATTAATTTAACCTTCATATAATCTTCAACAAGTCCACCTACAAAAATTGTAATTATATTATATTATATTATATATCTAACTCTCCTCGAAATCGTTTAATTCTTGTCAGGAACATTTCAAACACAGTGAATTTGATATAATTAATTTTTTGAAGATATAAATTAATTTGACCTTCATATGATCTTCAACAAGTCCACCCATCAAAATTGTAATTATATTATATTTCTAACCCTCCTTGAAATCGTTTAATTCCTGTCAGCAACATTTCGAACACCGCGAATTTGATATCACCATAATTAATTTCCGCCTGAAGATTAAAATCAGACACCCCGTATAAAACACAAGTCAGATTCCAAGTGATACAACCCACAGCACATCAGACATTCATAGATGTCGACACTACGGAACAGGTAAATCGTATAGGGTGGACAGCCGTCGTAATGACTGTCGTGGCTGCAAACACCCTGTGCCTGCAATCTAATGACTGGCCAAACAGAAATCTGCATAACACTTGGAGAAGTGTGGGTCACCTCCTTCCCCGACGCTGAATCTCCTATGGCCTCTATCAAACCGCCAAACTTTCTCAGCTTAGGGCCGGACCAGGAATTCCCAGTTGTAATTGAATTGTCAGTGAGTTTCGTCCGGGATTCCACCTGCTGATTGGCGAAAGTTCGCAAAGCCGCTTGCCGAACTTGACCATACAACATTCCATCCCGCTATATCGTTATTATCGTCCTATAGTTGTTCGCTGATGTTCATCGACATATCGAACTTTGGCTTACTTGTTTATTAGGATTACGCTTAATGGCACGGTTCGACGATTAATGATGAAACATTGGCTGTCAGTGATCGATGGGAGGAAAGTGTAGCTGGTCTGATGACGGAGTTGGGTACTCTGTTTCGTGATATTGTGGGAGATTTACTTGGTAGTTTCTCTGCTGTGATGGAAGGCTAGGGTTTAACCTTCGTAATATCGAGATGGGTACAGGTGTAGCCTAGATATCGTGTCTTTCCTGATGAATACATTTTTACAGGCTTTCTCTGCTGAACTTACACCTGTACGTATCTTTTCTTGCACTGTCGCTTTTATTTTAATACAGAAAACCTAAATGTAGGATCTTTCGCTAAATTAATCCTATGCAGACAGAGATCTAGTTAATCTAATAAACAACTCCTTTTTAATAACAAAACGGGTTTATTTAACTAAAATATTGCACTAAGTTCCTCTGGATTCTAACTCTCAAACATAGGATCCTCTGTTCACTACGTTTCGAGTACACACATTCTGCCTTCTGCCTTTTGCCTTCTCTGCACCCTGGGTACTTCCCCTCAGTCATTGATGTCATGCAGATCGCAGGTACCATCCATGGTCGTGTAGCTAGAAGGAACGGTAGGAAAAGGTAGGAAAAGCCTTAGAGAGTCACAACGTGTTGGCAACCCTGTGCCAAATTAACTATATGTCATATTGTGAATTTTGGTAGGACTTCGTGGATACGATGTACAATTCTCACGTGCAATAGATCTGTAATAAAAATTTATATTAATCGTTATAATTACATGGTTATATTATTGGCAACCTGTTTCAACTTCCATCTTCTGATATTATATTTACAGTTCATAAGAGTGAGTGAGAGAGAAGAATTTTCTAGAAAGTGTTAATCATTTCTCCTTTTTTTTGTTTAATTTATTATTTTTCTAAGTTTTTACTGCGAATTGTTTTCATTATTTAAATATTTTTATCCGAATATACTAATGTGTTAATTGTTATAAAATACAGAAGGTACTGGTATCCATTTCTAGCCACACACACGTGTATATGAAGATGGTTGGTTAGAGTGGTTATATTTTTTTTTCTCGCACCTAAATATGTGCAACTTTATATTCCATCTTCTTCGATTTTATATCTTGTACGTAATATAGAAGAGTAGTCTGAAAGCAGGTACATATGTATTTGGTTATAGAAGACATAGATTCTACTTTCATCTCGAATCCTCGGTTCTTTCTCACATTCGAATATATACAGTTTCATATTTCATTTTTTTATTTTTTTATTTTTATTATCTGTTCCTGTGAAGTCGGGAAACTATTATACATAGGTACACGTGTATTTGGTTAGTTATCTCAAATTATTGTACGTAGATAAATGCAATTTTATGATTTCTGTTTTACGATTTTTACTTTATTATCGTGTTATTATCGTTTTATTATCGTGGGAATAAGTATGCATAAAATATTTTGTAATTAAATGTCGTTCAATATTTAAATGTCGTTTCAATATCCACGTGTCAATAATTATATTCTAACCACGCCAATTTATTCACACGATTCTTTATTCGAAACTTCACCAAAATCCCTCAGAAACAGCCGGTGTATGATGGATTGCACGTCTGCTGGTACTGGACCCAACCCTTCTAAAATTCTGTTAGAAAAAAAGGTACAATAAACCAAGACATATATCTATCACCCTTAACACCCTTTTTCAACCCTAGCTCTACAATTTTCTATAAGCAAAACACGAACCATCTTCTTCGTTTAAAAAATCATGGACACCTATTTCACCCCTAGCTCTACAATTTTCCATAAGCAAGACACAAATCACCTTCATTGTTTAAAAATTCATGTATCCTTATTTCACCCCTAACTCTACAATTTTCCATAAGCAAAGCACGAACCATCTTTTTCTTTTAAAAATTGATATACCCCTATTTCACCCCTAACTCTACAATTTTCCATAATCAAAACACAAACCATCTTCGTTATTTAAAAAATTATATTCTTCTATTTCACCCCTAAATCTGCAATTTCCCATAAGCATGAAATGAACCATCTTCATCATCCAAAAAATATACACCCCTATTTTCATTCTTAGTTCTGCAATTTCCCATAAGCAAAACACAAACCATCTTTATCATTTAAAAATTGATATATTCCTATTTCATCCCTATCTTTACAATTTCCCGTAAACAAAACACGAGCCATCTTTATCGTCCAAAAAATCCTACACCCCTTTTTCCACCCCTAATTCGACACCTTTCAACGAGTAAAACACGAACCATTTTCATAGGTGAAAAAAATCAGGAAAAATTTGAAAAACTCGCTATCTGTGCACACATGGGGGGCTATTTGTACTCACCATCACCGACACAAAGGACAAATGCAACGAAGTACGAGGAACGTTGAAGGTCCATATACATCCGATATTTCCCGACGTATCCGGCAATTGCTTCGACGTCCATCGAGTGAAGTAAAAAAGGAGCGAAAAAAGAGAGAGAGAGAGGGGGGAGAAAGGGACAACGGTGTATTTTCCAATATGAACGAGAAATTCGCTATTCCAGGGTCACGCGTGTGTGAAAATCACGGATTGCTCCGCCATGTTGGGTGGTGGATGCCGGGCCGTTACGTGAATATTACTCGTTACAACGCTCTAATCTAATAGCCAGGCCGGAGAAATTGTGGGCGCAGAAAGGGGGTGGGAACTTTAGGATCGTGCCAGGGACTATTTGCCCTTAAAAGAGAAACTGACATGGCGCGGGACGTAATATGCAGATCGCTTAATTATCACTGCGAATTATGCAAATCTTGACACCGACGTTACGAGATTTCGTCGCGTACCATCGAGTAGGTTCGAGGGTGACGAAACGTAGGATGGAAACGGGGGCACACGCAGTTTGCCGTTTCATTAGGACGATTCTAGATTTATTAGCCTCGTAGAAACGCTCATAATCGACGGAACGGCGCGCTCGTTAAACCCGCTAAATTGAAGTTATATTAAAATTTTACCGTCCATCCACATTTTTCGTGCCTACGTATAAAACCCCGTTCAACATTTTCCCATCGTCCTTTGTCATCTAATTCTTCGTAAGAGATTGACGCTTTATTTAACGCCCCCTTTGTCGC